CATCCGAGGAAGAATTTATGCAGAAACTTACCTGGAAACCTTCACCCCAACTTTGGCTCATTTAGCCATAAATATTTCTTTGACGCCTTGCGATTTCCTAGTCGATGATACTTTAAGTTGTTCATCTATCAGAGTAAGACATAGTTCCCTGAATTCCATTTTCTAATCAACTCTCCACCACCATATTTCTCTTTAGAATCGCATCCCCTGCCATGTGATAATAACCAGATTCCCTGCATCCATTGTCATTAGATGCTCAAATGATTACGAAATAGCCGAGTTAGATGTAGTCGTGGATGTAGGTGAACCGTTTTTCGCGATCTGCCATATTCTACTGTCAAATGCCTCAGCAGCCATTTCATTGTAGTTGATGGCTCACTCTGTAGGTCAAGCAAAATCATTAGGACAGGAGGCCGTACCCAAGTTTCTGTCACTATAGTTTATTTCAAACACTAGGGCAGCATTTATGTGCCATAGTTTCGTCCGAAAAGATTGCAGTTATACAGTGTATGCTGTGAAATTCTTCGATCTATATTAGCACTTAGTGCCTAAATCGCGTCCTAACGGTAATCGATTTCTACCTGAATAGTGTGCACAGACTGGTCTCTGAATTAACTTTAGCGAAATGAACAAATAGCAGACCATTTTCTGATACCTGTTTTGGCCGGGGTGACCAAAACCATCGCAAAAGGAGTCTGTTATAGGTACTTCATTTAAAGGACTTCCGGTCGGTTTCATGAAGGAATTTTCATGTATCACGACCCGTTCGTGAAGAGTTATGAATGGTGCAAGCAATGAATAAGCAATGGTCCTTTGACGTATTCCACATCGGCAGGGGAAGCATATAGTCTTCCTCTACAGGCTGTGAGTGTGAGGTGCAAGGTGTTCCTTCACCAGTGAATCCGCGATTTTCTCTTTGGACGAATGTGGATGGCCAGGTTAAAAGCCATCTGAAGTACCAGTATCTTTCTATTTTTGTGATACCCTATGGCCCATTGTTGCCCATACTACGTTTCTGGTTCACAATAACGATATCACTCAGCTTCTCTGGTCAACGTGGGCTATGTTTAACTTGATGTGTGCAGAGTGATAAGCAGTCCCGACGACTCCGGTCTACTTCTGTGAGACATAAAAGGACACTTCATGTTGTTTGAGGACACCTGCCTCCCCCACAATTATTAAGTCGGCATTTATGGGCCTGTGAAATGGTGGCAACTGTCAAGTCTGAATTATCAGCGGCCATCCGCTACATGCAGTACCATTTGTGAGAATAATGTGCGTACCCTTCGGTTGCGATTTGGAGCATATGGATAACAAGCAGCCTATATTAAAACGGATTGCTCATACTTTGGGTGTTCAAACAAGAATTCTGCTTCTGAGCTGAAGTGCAAAGCTAGAATACGTTTCATTTATCAACAGTCCGAACACCTGTGGCGAGAAGATACGGTCCAAAGTGTCCCTGCTAGGGTCTGGTCAAATTAGGATCGCCGTAGAAACTTGTTTGCGAGAGAATAGGCCGATACATCTTGTGCTATTTCCGAATGAAGACCCACCGTATTCCTAAGCTCAGTAACTGCTCTAAGTTTATTTGTTCACACTAAGCGGCACACACACGGAACAGGATACAGGCTTGTTGTCGGCTATCCGCAGCTGGTCACTCCTTCGTACCATCAGCTGTCACACACACCCGAAGCCAAATAAAT